GTGCCCCCCCCCCCCCAACCAATCACCGGAGAGGTGACTCAGGGTATCAGTCCCTCTGAGCGGGAGCTCATAGGCTACCACTCCCGACGCATGTCTGCTTAGTGTAGGGGACAGGACAAGGAAGAGGAAGGCGAGATCGCGCGCGGCCCGTGGCCCGATTGGTAGGGCACTGCTCCGGCATTTGCCATGTCCGCTAGAACTCTCCTCCAGAGAGCGACTGAATTCCACCTAGCTGACAAGCTATTGTTGAACATCCTCACTCCAACGGGACTCGAACCTAGGACCTCCCGGTCAGAGGCACTGCAGTGACATCAATTGATACCCTGAGCCAGTTCTCCCAGTTTGTTTGAATTATGGTCGTAATTTATTACTCTATAATAACAAACACAAAAACTATTGACATTATTTGGCTAGCATGGAACCATAGTTGTCTGAATAATTTAATGTGTGTTGCAATGGGTTAATATCATGTAACTTATAGCAGAACATGTTTTATATGTATTTATTTATATACATGCTCCAGTAAAAATCGCTGGCAAGTTTAACACTCAAAGCTAATTCATCTGGGAGGCTACGGTTTTGTTCATATTCGTTAGCAATTTTTGTTTCAGAGATTTCTTGCACAGATGATTTGATATTTGTACGTATATTCGAGCGTTTTGTCCAGCATTTAGTAGTGTTTCATATTGACCCCCTTCAAGGGCCATTCATAATGAATACGTTAACATAGACTGAAAATAGAAACGTGTAGATATTTAACACAAACAAGGATGTTCCATTTCCAATGGCCGTGAACGTTAAGGTAAACGTAGCTACTCATCGATTTCGCTGGCGGTTGGTGCTAAGGCCGAGGGGGTACTTGACCCGGGTGCGGGTCCCCCTCACCCCTCAAAATGTACTTAAAGTGAAAAAACAAAACAGATTTTTCTTCAAATTGCCACGTTTATCATGAAATTGTCATCAAATTGTTATCACATTTATTTCGCATTTATTTTATGTAACTTCAGCAGAATTCATTTTTGCAATACAAAAACAGCGCTGCCTATGCAGTTTCTCATATAAACTCATTTAACAATTTCTCGAAATCGAATTTGTCGGTCATGTCCCTATAAAAACGTAAAATTGCAATTCTGATGAGCATGCATCAGTCGATCATGCATCCCAGTCGATCGCATATTCATTTTGAGCCGACACAATACCGAGAAACATATTTTCATTTCTGGAATTTGACATTTATGTAATATTTCTCTGACCCCAAATCCCGAATATGTATTTTACTCACTCAGAATTTTTCGTGTGGGTATAGCCACCCACCATACCCACATTGTCAGCCGGGCCTGCCTTTACTGTCTGTGCATCAAGGGTACACCGCGGCACTTATGCACCATGGGATCTGGTATCACACAGAAAAGCACGTACATGCATGAACCCCTGAAAAAATTGAATGGGCCACGAAAGGGGCCCAATATTTTATTTCCGTGAATATGTTCATCGCTTAGGTTTTTTATTTTTTGACAGTTTGGCGAATACTTAAATGACATTTGAAAAAGAGGCTTCCTAAGCCATCTAACAAGCATAAATATACAAACATAAAATCAATTAATGTTATAATAGCATTCTTCTTGTAGTAAATTACTTATTTAACTTGTATAAACGTCATAAGGAAATTTAAAGAATGGACAAAAAGTGCCCAGAGGGATCCAGAAATAAGTTGCCCCCCCCCCTCTCGTTTTAGGCTGCGCACGACTACGCTCCTAATGCTAACGGCACTGCGTGCTTTACACCGTCTTGTTTCACGCTGTGCCAAAATCCCAATAACCTTGTGCGGATCATGGGAAAATATGAAGACCGCAAACCTTCTGACAACTCAATTCCTTTCTAGCCTGTATTGTTATTGATACATTCCATTTAATGCACTATATTTAACATTTTATTGCAGTCAAGATTAGTATTTGTTTAGATATTAGAACTTTTACTAATTCCTGGAAAATTGCTTCACATTTGGAAGGATTTAACACGTCTCTCCTCACTGGAGATTAGTCAGTGTTGTTTTGGCTATTTTTCATAAACAAGTAATTAATAATATTAATCACTTAACTTCCGTGTTTCCAATAATAAAAATGAATATTTTTCAGAAATGAAAAATAAGAATGTAATTAAGTAAAATACTTTTTTTTCTTAATTTTAACCCCTAACGAAATAAAACTGGAATGCAGTACTAAAATAATCTATTGGTATTAATATAATTAATTTGGTAACAAAAATAAAAACGCATTTTATTTACATAATATTATAGTATATTATTGATTACCAGAAAATTGCAGAACTTCAATCTGAAGAAAATTATTTTCAGTTCGTTAAGGCCGAGAATGGATTTTGAACCAAAAAAACCTACATTACTCATGAATTGCTCAGACGATTCAGACTGTCAGACGACAGAGTAATTTCCACTTTCGTAATGCAAACAGGAGCTCATGTTATGACGTATTATTGATGACTCATTTAATCAGTGTCTCGTTGACAATTTCAATTATGAATGGATAGTATTTATTCACTCCCCTAGGAGACTTAAATTCATGAACACTGCTATTATTTTAAATGACTCTGTGGAGTATCGGAGAGTCAGTTCATGGTTAAGCCCACAAAGTCAATACGGCAATTAATTACTGGCTCTTCTGGCACACTGCACAGGCAGGAAAAGAAATGGGAAATATTTATCATTCCAGCGAACAAACAAGCTATGGAATTTAAAGTCATTTAAAGAGTGTTTTTACGTGCAATTTTATTGTTCAACTAATACATGTCGACATTTTCTATGAGTATATGTTCATATGAAATGTTAATGAAAATATTAATGGTAATGATAATGTAATAATAATCAAAATAATACGAAGACAACAAAAGACAAAAAGGATCCGGGTGAGATATATCACATTCATTGTGAACAAAATTACTCCTCGTCATGTCTCCATTGTGCATTAAATGAATGCAAATACAAATCATAGCTAATTTATCTAAGAAGACAATATATCAGTTGAAGCCTTTTCGGGGGGCAGTAAATATAATAGACACTACCACACGAGCAACAACCTCTGGCAGGCTCTTACAACAACGAAAAGGTGACTTTATGACGCTGAGATTAACTTTGCATGTCAGAATTTCAATGCATGTAATAAAATGAGATGTCCTATTGTCCTTCCCGCTCACGCTAAGGTCTTGAAAAGTAGAGATCAATTTCCACCTTAAATACCTCCTTCGTATCAAAAGTTAGCTTTAAATGTCCATATAGATTTTTTCACGTGTTTTGTTTTCAAAGGATTATTGAAGAAACAAACAGATTTTTTCTCAATCGCTAATTTACTTAAATCATATGTATAAACTGAATGAGCCATGTATTGTGGCACGAGCTATCTCCGGCCATGTACTTCATACTAATAATTTTTTATTCAGTTACACTTCTCAGAACTTTCAATTTCAATTTTCAACTCAGCTTTACTGTAATTTGCATGCAACGACAAATCGAAATACAGAAAAGCCGCAAATGCAAATAATATGAGGCTTCTGAGAGGAATTTTAAACTTTTGATTGTAGAAGATGTGTTGAAGTGATCGTCCATCTCTTTAATGCCATGCACTGTGCCATGGCAGGTTTTGGTGACTATGCTCTCCCCATTTTTGTCCTCGCCAGTATCCCTCAATGTAGAACATAAAACTCTGGACAATGCGCACTGAAGGCGATCCATTGGGCTTACGAAAACACTGTCATTTGCTTGAAAGGAAAATGTTAAGCAGTGCGAGAACTTGCCCTTTTTAGAAACAGTGTCTTTGTTGAGACGAATGTAGATTTCATCCCTATACTGTATTCACAGCGTAGTAGGCAGTTTTAGTAGTACCATAGTCTCTAAAATTGTAGAAAGGTCTCATCTTGAATCGTTCAAAAAACATCTGAGAGAACATTTGAGTAATAGTAATTGGATCACCTCCACTAGTGATTCATTATTTAGTAAATTACCAATTATCAAATAAAATGTATTTTCAGGTACAATTGTCTCACTTATTCCAGAGATTTTATTGCCCTCTAGAGGCATATGAAATTGAGTCCCCACACTTCACAGCTTCAATCCATAAATTAATGTAGAGTGGGGAAGCTCTTTGCCATAAAAGTAATTTTGACATAATAAAATAAAATAATTATGTAACGAGCACTTCTGAAACATTGGAGTAGTAACTAAATTGACCAACTAACCGTCTTATAAAACGAAGAAATTAACGTTGACATTTTCAAATAAAACAATCTAAAAATGTATTGTCTTGAAAAGAATCCTTCCAGCGAACTACGAAGCTGTCAAAATGCCTCAATTTGTCCGGAACATCATTGCTCCAGTAAGAACGTAGGCTTCAGTAACTACTCGGCTGTCCGGGCGGGGCCGCGACCTCGGCACAGGCGCCAACGTTCGGCCGCCATTCCGCGACCTTCCTCGCAGTGTCGCAGAATGGCGTCGGAAACGTTGGAGCCTCCCGGACAGCCCTGTCGCGGTAGCCAGTGGCCCGACTCACCGGCGTGGCGCGGCGTGGCGTTGCGTTGCGTGCGCAGGAACGTGACGGTGGTTGTGGCGGGGCTGGGGTCCGGCGCGGGCGCCACCGAGTGCGAGCGCATGCACGTGGACTCCACGGGCGAGACGCGCCTGCTGCCCGTCACCGTCTACCTGCTGGACGAGCGCGGCCGCTTCGACAAGCAGCTCGTCGAGTCCTTCTACATGGTGGTGTCGCAGCCCCAGCAGCCGTCGCCGCTGCAGGTGAGTCACCGCAATCGACCGCACTATCGACTTCGGGCGCAGGTCGAGTTTCCCGTCACTTGAACCTACAACGCAGAAGGCCGACATTGTCGATTGCTATGTTAATCTTGGTGAGATAATTGTGGATGCCAACGATATCTTTACTGGGTCTCCTTCTAAAGTAGTTAATAGAGTTTTGAATGATTACAAACTCATTAATATGTTATTGGAAGTATGAAAATTTCATTTTATTTCATCAAATAGCACAGAGAAAAGTATTGTGTGAGGTTTCGAATTTCTAAAAAAAATAATTTACACAATTGTAATGAAATTCATGCACATTAAAACTAATAATAAATGAATTACCTAATTACTCTCGTAACTCTATTTTATTGCATTTTAAATTCTGGGAGGCCACTTCAGAAATGGGGAAATTTAGATGATAATCATGTGATATTGCCTTTATAAAAGTATTTCCATAAGTTCTTAAATGGAATTTAATATCCCAGAGAACGAGTTTTTCGTATCTAATTGTATACACATATCATTTTACTTCCCCCGTCGAAAAAAAGAGTTAATGAGTTACCTTAGATCAAGTTAAACTATTTTGGAAAACTTGTACATTGCCTGTCGTCTTATAACATAAAACTGAACGTATAACTTACTTTGAATGGGTACTACATTACATTGCATAGAAAACAAATAAAGCATAAGAAAGAAGTGTTTATCGGATGATTTTTTTATAAAGTAAATAAATTCTTATTTTAATGTACATTATAAAAATATTTTTTGCTACGTGGAGAAATATCAAGAAGCCCTGGACCAACAAAAATGTAATAGAATGCTCAAGAAAAGCTCATCCTGTAGATTACTGTGTGTGAAACGTTCCCATGAGAGCTTGGGCCTCAATATTTTAGTTTTGAATGCCCTACAAAGCTTCGTTATGGAGTTATTTAACAATATAGACATAAAACAATCCTGCCGAGTGTGGCGGGTTGCATTTGACAAGAAAATTTAATTTGGTTCTACAGCGACATCTAGTGAAAATTTACGATACTTTAATAATTATTCTGCTATTCGGGGCGGAGATGAATCCAAACAATCATAGATAATTAAGATTGGTCTAGCCGTTCTTGAGGTATAAATGGTGTAACTAGCCCGACTTTGTTTTGAGCACTACTAGGTTATTTTACGGCTGGCATTACCATTTTTTTCCTTTTCATTTTACAAACTAGTCCAGTAATTAAACCGAAGTTGTAGATGAACTCAGTCAAAACGCATGAGTGGTTAACTGTTACACGAAAGATTGGAGTAACGGGTTTGCCCGTATTGGCAGAGCGACGAGAGAATAACGGCGGCATGCAACTGTTTATGTTCGCCAGCTGCCGGGGACACATCGGCCTTTCGTCGAACAGAGGAAAAGCAACGAAGCGAACGGAGTCCGTAATTCTGTGTTGACGTTCCTCCTCCTCCACACAGAAGACGCATTTAATTACCATCGCTGGTAATAAAACCCCTTCAGGAGCAAATGCTTCCTTCGCGTAGTGGATAACAACGAGGGACGACATTATTGGTACAGAGCGCCGCGCGAACCGCCTCAACCTTCCAAGTCAAACACGCGCCAGTTGGTTGCGTCCGCAAGCGCAGTCGATAAACTCGAAAGGCTGCCGTCGTTCCTTGCAGTAAAAAAAGGCACGAAGGGGAGTGTGCTTGAGAGAACGATTCAAGGTGAAAAGGCGCTCCGTGCCTCTTGTTTTAAGGACTTGCAAATGCGGTCTTCCAATGGAACCCTCTTCTAAGACACACAACACATTATTCGTTTCATTTACTTGCATCAGTGAGATTTAATTTCAGAGGCAACAAAATTAACAACACGGATCATTTCAGTATTCTTATTCACATTTATAAAGGATTATAAATTTTCTATAAAATTATGATTGAAAAAAATCGAAATTTTATTAGATATTTAAGTAATAAATATGAAAGAATGAAGATAAAGACTGAAACACTTTTGTGTTCGTTAAGATTGACACTTCGTTCGTGGCAACTAACTAACTAGAGTGTAGTAATATTATCGGAAACAGTTTATGCGTTTTACATGAAGGGAATATATGTCAGATTTTTGTTCAGAAAAAAATGTGAAGAATGTTGGAATGTGAAAAAATTGGATGAATATTGCATATGTGACATACTTCAAATACAAGATAGATTAAATGGTTTATTATAAATAAATATTAGTTATAATACATACATTGCATTGAAGTATTAAAACATTTTTACGTAAAATTAATAGGGAAAGAATATTCTTTTGTTTCTAATTTCTAGAAAAGAGAAAAAACTAAGACTGCAAACAAACTAGAAAAATAAGAAATGGCGAATGGCAGAACAAATACGAGTATGTGTGCGGGCTACGAATACGAACAAATTGAAATTTGTGACTACTTATTCCGCTGAAATACCCGCTTAACCCATGGCCGCGAGGCACGGACGTCGCCGGTAGGCCTGAGCCCATTCACGGGCTGTCGTGCCACGTGCATACACACAATTCCGCTGAAAAGAATCATTTCTTCGTACTAAAAACTTATTATTTACTCGATAGCTTACCTCTATTGTACCATGAGTGCATTACACCCAGGACAGATTTAACTACAGGCAAAATAAGCTGTTACTTAGGGATTCCCATCCATTGGGGTGCCCCACGCGTCTGAAAAAAATCATAAAATATTCGAAAAAACGTAAAAAATATATATTTATATCTATATGATAATTCTTCATCAAATAATCTCGGGAACAAAAATAAATCGGGACCAAAAAATGTTTTTTGCAATTAGTGTTTTGTAGTAAATCTATAATGTTTGCCGACGGGGGGGTTTACATTGATTTTGTGCTCGGAGTCCCTAGGGAACCTAAATGGGGCCTGATTGCACCGTCTGCAAGCGCAGGCGACGCGCGCCAGGGTGGCCAGCGGGCCGTGAGGCGGGCTCGCGCCCCTCGGTCGCGGTAGGAGGTGAGGCGGGGGCGTGGCGGGGGCGGGCTGCCGTGCGGCGCACGCGAGGCGCTATCCGCCGCACATCGCGCGGCCTGAGCGCGTGACTGGCCCGTGATAGCACTCTCCCCTCGCGCCGCCGCTTGTTTCCACTGTCCGCTGCCGCCTCGGCTATTCTCTGCCTCTGCTGGGTCGCCGACTGCAGTACGGCTATCTCGCGCCCAGCCGCCGCCTCAGCCATTGCCCCTCTCAGTGTTGCATCAATCTGCGTTCACATTGAGGTTTAAATTCAGCAAGCCACTATTTTGAGAAATCTTAGTAGTCTCCTTAAATATCGATGCCCTTTGTTTTTCGTTTCCACGACATGTGGACGTAGGACGATAGTTTCTGTTATGTCCCGCTGCGTCTATTCTACATCAGCCGTTTCTTTACCAAACCATATACTATTTTCAATAATAAGACCACTGCTGTTGTCAGTGCTATTACCGCTTATGCCTAACTCTCGAAACGATCGCAAGCATTATTGCGATTGCGCACCATGCTAACTCGCACCATCATCACCACTACCTGTAAGACTCGCACCAACACCTACAATCTTCATCGGAATTTTCGTGTGGTCACCACTCTCCAGTCATCCACCACAGTCGGCCAATGAGCATTGTAGGCGTCCGCCCGCCCCGCGTCGCTGTCCACCGCCGTTGCAGCCGCCACCACCTACCTTCCCTGGCAGCCGCCCCCGCCGCCGCCGGCCGATTTATCACGGGCGCTGAGCAATAAAACACCCCCGACGGGCAAATCCCAGCGCTTCTTCCCGCGGCGCGAGCCCTCTCCGGGCAGGTTGCTTTTAATGGAAATGGCGCCCGCCGCGGCTGCTATTTCTCCGCCCGTCAAAATCGGACGCCCCGAAACAAAACGCGATTCGCGCGCGTGTGCGTTACGCCGATACATCGCGGCGTCGAGTTCCCTCGAGGCTCTGCTCTGCTGGGCCTCACGCCGCGGCACGAAGCGCGACTACGACCCCTGGCCAGCGGCGATCCTGGCTGGCGGTCTGGAAAAAAGACGCCATGGGATTGCGAAAATACACGTAATTCATACACATGCATTTACGTTTTTCAGATACGGCACGCCATGTCACATAGCATTCCGAGTAATATTCAATGTACAACGTGTAATTTCCCGAACAATGTACTGTGTAACAACTAATGAAATTGCCTTAAAAATAGAAGTAGGGCCTGTTAATCAAAACAACTATAAAAATAGTCTAATATAATCGTGTTGGCTTTACCAGAAAATGCCTATAATAGATCACAGACCTGCCCATGAACGTACTTTTGCATTGTGATTGTTGCTAAAAAAAGTGATACGTTTTCATCTCATAATTAAGTTAATTTTCTTCTTAACATAACCTCCATGCACTAAATATTTTTCTCCCGAAAAACCGGAAGGCTTGCAGCTAAGACTCAATGATTTGCTGTACACACACCTCGACGTGTCGTTCTCTGTAAGGCCTTCCTACCTTCGGATCCCACTCTCCGCCGAGGCGGCCTCCCCGGAGGCAGGTGGGCAGGAAGCCGGCAGGCGGCACGCACCGCCCCTTAGTCTCCCGAGACGAATGGGCGCGAGAGATGTAAGATGCCTTATAAAGTGGAGAAGAATGGGCTACGGCGGCGGCCATTAGCACGCTGACGCACACGTTTTGCTCCCTCTTGTTGCAACGAGAGCGGAGTTATAATGGCTCACTAAATTACATTCAAGATCAGTTTATTTGATGGTAGCTCTGCGGTAGTAATTGCTGTAGTAGTATCTTAGCAAGCACGCTTCTCTTTCGAAGATACACCGAGGATTCCAAGCTTAGTAGTGGGAAATTACAAACTATTATTTGAAGACAAAGTGTCTTCATGCTGTTCTTTATATAACTAAACATGTTTCAAGAAGTACTGCTGTCTAAGAACATATTAGTGTTTGATGATGCAGATTATAGTAATATTGAGGATGTTAACGATTGCCGCATTGGGTTCCTGAGCTGGCGAGGGAGGCGGCTTACAACTGCATGCCCTCCCCTTTCCTGGCCAGATGACCACATCACATTTGTGGTATGCCATAACCCACTGGATGAGTGATAAAGGAGTGATAACGAAGGTTGATGGACTTTTTTTCTTGCGTGTAGGCTTGTAGTACCATCTTGCAGGTGCAAGTCCCTTTATCTGGAGGGAATCAGCATTTTAGCTGAATCTCGATTTTTATCCCGATCCCGTTAGCCCTGGAAGTGTGCACGATGACGATAATGAAGGATGAAAGGACGACCCACACGTATAGACACGTACCCATTCCCAAGGCAGTATTCGAACACGAGGTCTTCTGGTCCCAGACAACTACGGCACTTCTGCCCTAACGATTTCGTTCATGTGGCGGGCGGGTGAATTATTATGATAAAACATTCATGACTGCGGATGGGATCACAACTCAGAAGTCATAAGTGGAAAGCTGGTTCCATATAATCAAGTTACTTAAGTGTCGTGAGAAAAGAAAGAAATGTCCCAGATGAAACACGTGTGTACCACAATGCTCCGTGTAACGAATCAAGTGAAGAGCTGAGATTTCGATGGTACAGTTGATGCACACAGTTGTTCAACTGAGGTGAATGTCTCCAGATCCAGTTCTATGATTACACTTTCTACTGTTGCGCACGATGTCTCTGGCAGAGTGTCACAATGGAACACGAATAAAGCAGGTCGGAGAGTTCTGACAATCCTTTTTACTTTACAGATCACCTAATTAAATGTTTTCGGTACGTGTTAACAGTCTTATTTTGACATCAGTCAATGGCTAAAGAGAGTAACAGTCGTCACGAAACATTTCTCAATAAAAGAAAAATATTAACATTGTCTCACAAGAAAATAGCTACAACCAAGAATTCAATTACTATTCCACCAAATTAGTAAATAATAATAATAATAATAATAATAATAATAATAATAATAATAATAATAATAATGATATTTGTGAAATTTCGTGCACTTTTTCCAGTATTATATAATTCAATATTATCTGAAGCAATGCCTTGTTCCAGATTACACGTGTTGATCTGATGTATGGACCACTTCCCACCACAAGTTCAGACAGTAATGCTGGTGTCATTGCAGCCATAACCATATCCTGTGTAGGAGCAATATGTTTATTGCTCCTAGCTGCCCTGCTGGTGAGCAGAAAAACACATTCTCATACAATAAGTCATACTATTTCTCCTTGATGAACATATTTTGTAAATTCTAAATGTATAGTGAAAAATGTATTTCTAGAAATGCAAAAGAATCTGTCTGTGATATAAATAACATTTTTGTTCTTTTATTTTTTTTTTAATGTTATACAATATTTTTTCAAGTACACATGATTCACAGTACCTTTTTGTACACTTCACTTGTCACTAATAAAATCACATTTGGTTTTCAAACTTCCTTCCAACTTTTATATTGTTTCCCTTTAATCCTAATATTATTTTCCTTGTGAAATATACATCACAATGTAAAAAATTGTAATTAATTATCTGAAAGTCTCTACAGTTTATTTGATGTTAAGGCAAGTCTAGCAATATTCATACAAATTGGGTAATCATTTTTTATTTGGTAGCCAAGAGCATTCCCTCTGAACTTACTTGTGCAATAGTATTTGTTTTAGAAGTGATTATTTAAATACTGAATGTGAGTGAAAATGTATTATTTTTATTTGAATTCAGTTTCTTTACCTTGGTGAAATTATTTTCACAGATCATAATGAGGAAGAGACAAAAACGTTTCAACTATGGTCAACGTTGTACTCCTGTCTCTCTTGATGCTTACAGCTTAGACAGTGTATCAGTTTATGACAGTGTAAGGAGGAAGGGAGCTCTAAGAGCATCTAAACGTTCTTATGGGAACCCAGCATTTGATGATCCTGTGAGTTGTTTTAAAATCCAATTCTGACATAAACTTTAAATAAAATAAACATATGTGAACACTTAGTCACAAATGAAATTTTTCATCACAGGGGGCACCTTCACATCCAATGAACTTCGCAGGCCTGGCAAATTTCAGCAGTGACAGAGCTGCATTGGAGGAAGAATTTGAAATGGTTCCTCAAGTGACCCCAAAATCAGATGAGCTCCCTGAAGGAGCAGAAACAAAGAATCGTTATTCAAATGTGATTCCTCTTCCAGAAACCAGAGTACAACTCTCATTGGTTGAAGGAGAGCAACTTTCCGATTATATCAATGCAAACTACGTAAAGGTAAAATTGGCAACAAATTAATTTAATTTCAAATTTATTCAAATAATAGTTACAAATTAACATCATTTTGATGATAGTTTTTTTCAAAATAAAAAAATAAATAAGATCTGTAATTTTTCAGGGTCCTAAAAATGAGAACAAGTTCTACATTGCTTGCCAAGCACCATTACCATCAACAGTTACAGACTTTTGGCGTATGATATGGGAGCAACAAAGCAAAGTTATTTTGATGCTGACAGATCTTGTAGAAAATGGAGTTGTAAGTTCAGCGTTGTCTTTTCACTTTCATGAAAACATCTGAACAAAAATGTATAATTTTCTTGCTTATGGTTCTTAAGACAGAAATACTAATATGTATTATTCTAGTTTTTACAATTTATGGGATGAGTAATTTGCAATATTTCTTTCTTTTTTTCTTTTCATGTACAGTTAATACTTTATTTTACCATTGCGTAACAATATTTTTTGTTTAGTTAATTAAGTATGCTCAATAATTCCAAGAAAAATCATTGATTATATCTATCATTATGGCATGCTTGCAATTGAAACTTCACCATACAATTAAAAGTTCACAACAGCCAATACGAACTCTGAGAACTGATTGAAATTGTTTAATTATTAATCTGTAACACAGACATAGCCACAGTTTTTCCAGACTGACACAAAACATGTACATCAAAAATTACATACATCAAAAACATAATCAATGAATTAATGAAACAAAATTATAAATGAATAATTACCTTCAATAATATGTCTTAGACAATCATGTTATAGATTATTTATAGTTATATATATTGATTATTTGTAGTATGATAAGTTAAGTTGGAAACTATTTCCCTACTCACACTTAGCATAAATCATCGTAACCCAGAAATCACTTTGTATTGCACAAATATGTTTATTTTACCTATTTGAACATGACAGCCCAGAGAGTAGTTGTTTTGGCAAAACTTCTTGTAAATTGTTTATAATTTAAAATATAGACACACTCCTTTACATGCCATGTCTTCAACATAAACAAGTATAAACCAAGCATGTTGCAGCAAACAAACCATAAGCATGTTGGTTTGACACTAGTTGACTAATGGAACAACATTAAATATTTAACTACAATAAAGGTGTTACATGTAAAACATTTGGTCTTCGTATATTACAAATATAAAAAATGTAATTGTCAGTTAAATTAACCCGCTCTGAAAAGTACATCAGCAAAATATCTGAGTCAGAACTGAATAGTCTTTCTCCTTTCCAACATTAACATGTGTTGTTCTCACATACATGCCCTTACTTTTCATATGAAGTAATGTTTTCATGGCTTTATCAGCTTCTCATAATATTTCAGCTGGAATACAAAAAAATATTTTCCATTTTCAAACATTTCTTATTTAACACATTATTCTCTAAGACACGAAGGTGGTAAACAATGCACGACCTACTAAAATAGGTCTTGTTCAGGACCAATATTTTATTGAACGTAACATTTGCATAAAGGGGTATAATTGCACTCGTGGTAAATAAGATAACTCGCTACTACGCTTGCTCATTTTCTTGAACATATCATTTGTGCAAACTTAAATTTTATTGGTTTCTTTTATGATTCTTGTTATATATTGATTGTCATTCCACCTTCTAACTGTAGCTCTAAAATACGTACTCTAAAACAATGCTAAAATGAAATGCAGCTATCAACAATTAATTGAGATGATTTATTCAGGCTTTTTTAATCCATTCCTTATTATAATACAAAGTAATAACTTCAAAATCTGTTTTGGGAGTACAGAAGTTGCTCTTAAAATTTAATTTATTTTCACCTTCATTCCATCTTTTTTGTGCAGATAACATTTAGTAATATAAATAATAGAATTTTCATAATGTTTCTCATTTCATGATTTTAGGAAAAATGTGCAGATTATATGCCACCTTCTGAAGTATTGGATTGTCATCGATTATTTGGTGACTTTCAAATTACTCTCAAGAAAAGGGAAGAAAGAGAAAAGTATGTGATTTCAACTCTTCAATTGAAGGTAAGAAAAAAAATTGATTTATAAGGTACTCTTTACATGTATGCAACAATTGTTTGTACATTTAATTTGGGATTTGTGAATTTTACATTACGATATTTTTTGCATTAAGCCATCAGTAGCTGTAGAGTTATATACTTAAGAAGTAAAATACAAATTACTAGAAATATTTAGCATCCATTTTCCTTATTGAACTTTTGTTACAGAACCTAGAAACCAATTCATGGAGAGAAGTGACTCATCTCTGGTATCTCAGCTGGCCGAATCAGGGAGTTCCAGATGAATCCAATTCCATAATTGCATTCCTTATTGAAGCTCGCCCTTACATGCGTTCCAACACTGGGCCAACAGTTGTCCATTGCAGCCCAGGGACAGGACGTACAGGAACAGTTTTGGCCTGTGACATTTGCATCAGAGACTTCGAACAGACAAGAATGGTGGATATTCCCCGTTGCGTTTATCGTTTGCGTAGAGACAGAGCAGGAGCAGTTAAGACTAAGGATCAATATGTCTTTATATACCAGGTAAATTCATGGAACTTTTTCTGTCTTACTCAATGCCTTCTAGAAATGGTGATTTTTTTAACATTAAAAGAAATAATTAATAGTGAAACAGTTTATCATGCATTTTTTCATTAGTGGCTAACATATACTGTTTTAACAAACATTTTGAATATTTATTTCAGTATTTTTAAATGTACAGATATAAATGCTACATTTAGAATTAATTAAAAAATATGTTTGAACACAGTGGCAAAACTGTAATTTTAACTGTCCAATGTAAACAGAACTAAATGTTATTTCATTGAATACCTTAATTGACAAAGTTTAAGATGAATTTTAACTTTTGTGCAATTATTAATAATTTGATTATTGAATGATTGATTTTGTCATGTGATCTTTTTTTAAGGTCCTGAACACTTATGCCACAAAACTGACTGGAGGTGGAGGCAGCCTTGACTCTATATGAAATTTGAGACTGGAAACTAGGAAAGCAAAGACATGGTGGTTCATTCCAAAGATTCCATAGATATGGAGGGACCAATATTTTAAGACAAGTGTGACACTTCTAAAGAAGTTCTTAGGTAAGATTCAAGAAATAACAGTACGAGGCATACCAAAAAAATAAAATAAAATAAATGAGCAGGTACTCAGAATTTCCTAAAATAAGTGGCTAACAATGCAGTGTACTTTTAAGTGTGTTTGCACAAAATTATTCAAAGCCACATTATTTGAAACTATGCTCTCTACACTGTGGATGTGTATTTATTGTTTTACTGAATTAATAAGTAGTTTTAATCATGAGATTAAATGTAATTTATTTGTTCCTAGAAGAATCTGTGTTAGTGTAGGGATAAATAAAATTTTGACCACTAGATCTGATTACCAAAGTGATGATTCTAAGGGGTCTATCATTTGTCACTGGTGATATCCTGCAGTCATAATTACACATTTGTGGTGCAGTGATGTTGGTTTAAGAAATATAATTTGTTGTACGTCTATGTTATGTACAAATTTTAAATGAGGCACTGTGATGTTTATTGAAAGATTGTTATTTTTATTTCTATAGTTAAAAATATATATTTATTTGTATTGTTCTGTTAATTTCATATATTTTCTGTGATTTAATCTTTGCAATTAGTTAATGCTTTTAAATACTTTTCCATTTAGTACATTCCAGATTATACTTGAATAAAAAACACATAGAAGTTAAAGTTACTACCATTACGTGTTTTATGCTTGTAGTGACATTCAGCAAAGTTGAGTGACAGTTCTATTCTATCATCAGTATGTTTTCAATTACTATCTCTTTTAAATGTAATTATACTCAATGTACTCTAAATGAATTCTGAACTTGTAGGCTTATTTATGTACAGACTTGCCAATAAAGCTTCACTCTCTCTGTGTATTTTGTGTATTAAGCTTTACTCTCTTTATGCATTACTACTACACCATGTTAATATCATTGTCAACATTGTTTCTTATCTGCAATTAGTCCTGAAAATTCCTTTTCCATTGTCCAATTGCTGCTTGAATTGTGAAGGAATTTCCCTGTCTTGAATTCTGAAGGAATCTCTGTCTTAAAACAATGCTGTGTAAATACTGACAAAGAAACTCCTCTCACTTTCATACAAGTTTTCCATCCAAGCTTGTATATTACATAATTTATGAAGCATCACCATATTGCTTTTATTATTATAATTATTTTTGTTAGAGTTGTTGTTGTTGTTGTTGTTGAAAGGGGAACAGCAATGCTACTAAAGTCCCTGGTGGCTTTGGATACACCAAACTCATAGTATTGTGATGGAAATAATTTGTTTTAAGGCCTATTTATGAAATTCCAGAATTAGAATTTGATTATAGAATTGAGAAATACAAAAGCCTCATACTACAATACTTGGTACAGATAGATTAGGATATTATACAGTAGATCATTATTTTTAGTAGCAAATAATTTAACATTTCAAGATTTGTAGTTTCACATTTAAAGTAGAATGAAAATTTACTTGTTATTGTTTTTTTACTGCTACAACTTTTTTGACTTCAATATAGTGTAATTACATAACTGTTTGTCAGTTGTCAAGGACGTAAATTTGAATACATTTCATGAAAATCAATTATTTTCCTAAAAACGATGAGAATAATGGGTTATTAAAATTAATTTGACAGTAAACATCAAGAATAATTCATACTGATAAGGCATTTACACGACAAAAAATATTCTGCATTATACTCCTTAAAAATAATTCTGCATCTTTTTTCCAAGTAGTATCAGTTCATACTGAATTTTCTTTTCTCGTAAAGCTTTTCTTTTACATACTTGTTCTATCAAGATTTCTGTAGAGATCAACAAATTTTTATGATTCTTTAATTAGCTCAAATATCTAGTCTAAAACTCATATTCCTTTTTAAGAATTATCTTTGTGCTGACTGCTGCAAAGAAACTTTCAAGTTACAGGAGCTGGATGCTCAATCTCTGGGACTCAGTAATAGAGATAGAGAGAGAGCGCTGTGAAAATAAGATAGGAATGGAAACATTGTATATGGCCTACATTGATAGTTATTGGCAAGAAATATCAACCATTAATGAAGATATTTAAGATATTTAATCAAAAGTATTATTTCTTTTCAATAATTATAAAGATATTCACACAGAGAAATATGTGGAATGATGTTAAATCTACATCTAAAAGGTATCTGCAAGGTATTGATTGGAAGGAACTTCAGAAATGATCAAATAGAGCAGTCAGACCGAAGAACTCTTCTTCAGACAAATATTTTTAAAATTTTTTAAAAATATAATGAATTCCCCTTAAGATCTACAGAATGAACTCAATACAAGTAAAGCTTATCAAACCATTAAAGGTGAAAAACATGTATTGACAAAAGAGCAAAAATAGCAATTTTGAAAAACCCAATGAAACAAGTAATAATGACATTTAACACATAGACTTTTTTTAGATGTTCAAGTGAATGGAAACTTCAAAAATTTAAATCTCAGGGCACCCATCAGTCTTGCTCCATGAAGTTGTGAAGACAACATCAAACTTAAAGAGAAAGATTTCAACAAAATCATATAGAGATTGGACCATGAAATGTGTCCTAGATGATAAAAATTATTGAATAATGCATGTGTGTAGAGAAAGAGAGAAACACCTGTAATTCTTAACCTTTATCCTTTTCCAATCTATATAAAAATTTACTTTTACTACTCAGGTATGTATGGGTGGATTAATACTGAAGGAAAGTATCAGGGGTCTCTGCCAGCTAGATCCTCTAATAATTTTTTAAATTAAATTTTCAGATTCCCATGCTACAATACACCAAGTGTCATCCTGTAAGGAGCATATGTGAATCAAAATGTTACAAGTAATTGAACACATGCATTATATAAATAAGCTATATATGAACTACATAAAAATTGTCTCCCTCTCTGTCTCTTGAATGTAGAACCAAAAATCATATACATACTTATGTGAAAGTTAGTGTCTCAATTTTATCTTATAAAAAAGTTTCTCTAAAAATTATATTCAAAATATTTTTATTGATATGAATACGGCAAATAATTGTCAACAACATTGTCATATCCCACTTTCTAGAAGGATTTTTTCTATTTTCTTTAACTATTTTTCGATTGAAATTCGCTTTAGGAAATTTGTATATCTTCTCTTAGGTACGTTTTTGTGGCACTCAGAATCAAAAGGGAAACACGAATGGACATTGTTAATCATTATTTTCACCAAAAAGTATAAATCGGGCTCAATCGCATTGCAAGAGAAGTATCTATATTCAATTTACGACTCAAGCGTCCATTTGAATGATGATCTAGATCCGCGGATGTTCTGGCTGACATATGTCGCCATCTATTCGGCAAACTACAAACTACGTGAAATGACTACAAGAGCGCGCTTCCAACGCGTGGTTGTGAAATGTTTCCCCTGTGGTATTTCCATAATTATTTTAAATCGTCGTTAATAAGTCCAAATGCGCTTAATATTTTAATTTAGTGCAACTTCAATAATAACAATATCAATAAATAATGTGGTTACCTCCACTAGCAGATATGAACTGATCTCGAAGTTCCAAACACATGCCCCATGTGACAATATGATCAATGGTTTCTACTTGATCCTGGCAAATGTGGCATTTATCATCTTAGGAAATTTTGAGAACCATTTTAACGTAATGTGTTCTCAACGCCTGATATTGGGCAGCTATTAGATCTGCTTTCAATTCTGCATTTCCAAAATTAGTCGTTGATGCCGCAAGTGTCGGTGCAATCTAGTTTATTTATAATCAGAAAACAATTGCTTAGCCTGGTTGCCGTATCTCCTGGCTAATACAAAACATATTTCACACAAATAACACATGAACAAATACCAAGTCACAAATATTTTACCCTTAGAAACAAATAATATTCACACATAACAAGCACAAAACTCATTCATGCGAACGTGCATTCACTGTCACTTATTAATGGTCATTTATGTTTGAAATTTTAAATACTTTCACCACTCCAATAAATTTCTTGACCTTCTCATAATCTCAAGTAAATTTAAAAAGTTTGAAATCATCACTTCTCTTATCGTTAATCGCTTCGCTTGTTAAACACATTCGGCCAAACTTCGCCGACTTCCAGACTTACCATTTTCATTTTACATTCATTTTGTTTGTAATGTGACTTCAATCTGCATTCATTATAACATCATACTTTATATGCCAACATGGCTTCCTTCTACCATGCGTCATGTATCAATTCTACAAGCATTCTGTCCTCTTATGCATCTTCACTAAAGTTCCAGAAAAACAATTGCAGTATTTTTTTCATTTGTCATTTGCTAATCTTATAATTACCTTTTCCGTCTCTCCGTAATAATTTCCAAAAGTGGAATGTGATCAGGTGCGAAAGAAGTTTATTCCTTCGCATCTGATCACATTCCCTTTTGTTAAAGATTTACATATTTATTCTGTTTTTGTTTACTTTTTTAATGTCTTTTAAAGGTCTGTTTATTTAATTCGATATATTTACTAACATAGGTTCTCGGTACGTAGTGTTCACTTGTCATGCGACAAAAAGTTATGATTTCTTCTGAATTTCTTGGAAAAGCCTAGTGTATATTTATTTATTGTCAGCCCAAACGTTATCTTCATAATTTATTTACTTCGATCTGATTGCATTTTAACAGTTCATCAGCTCCGGCCAAATAAATAAATATCACTACGCTCCCGAACCCTCACTTGTTTTTGCATCTATGTCGCATTTCGCGCCTATTAAAACATATTGAAATATTGTCTCGACAAGTCCGTTTGGACCGTCAAACGCAGCCACGACATACGGCAACAAATCAGCTGGAACCAGTGACGGCTCGTGGTTAAAGTTAGTGAGGACGCTGCTTCAGAAAATGTTAAGGCTTTTTTCCAAAATTGTGTAAAGGAATCAAACAAGTACAAAAAGAAAACTTATTCAGAAACTTCATAAAATTCTCAAAGAACAAAATCAAACATTTTTCACTACGTTTATTCTAAATCGTTACAGTCTAAGCTTGAGCTATTCACAGTCGGCACTGAGGGAGCGTCAGAGCTCGCTTACCCCCGCAACGCGCATGCGCAAAACAGCCAACAGCCTTAACCCACGGCGCTCGAACTGGGAAGGGTTCCATACAACGGTTCTTGTATCGTTTTCATGAAGGTGAGGTTGGCGACTGACATTAAGCTTAAGGATTATTGTATATTGCACAAGAATAAAAAAAATAATTAAAGAAAAAGGGACTGATATTAAATGTAATCGATCATATCAAGTGAAAATACGAGGTTGCTGCCTCCACGAGCCGCCATTGGCGGGAACCTTGTTTATTCTGAGTTTGCACCAGCGAGTACCAGAAAAAACACCGTGGGAGCCTCGAGTTGTTCCAAGCTGTCTTAGAATGTATGTTCGAATGTGCATTATTCCCCTAGCTGAAGTGTTTTAGATTATTATTTCAGGTCAATATTTGTGTTATTGATTGCGCAACAAACATATTTCAAATGAATGATCCAATGACTTCAATTCCACATTTCATCATTGAATTTGTGCTTAGAGAGAACTATGAAGCCTCATGAGATCCTATGGCGCAATCTGCAACAGCTTCTTCCTTTTATTTGCGATTCGTTTTATTAAATTTTTCATTATTTACTCTCGATCGCACCATTTCTTACATATTACGCGCATTTTAGAAGTAAATACACGGTAACAACCCGTAAACGTCGGGCCACAAATCAAACAAATCCGGACAGTGAAGGCCAATAGTTTCCTCGTCGGAGATTTGTAAATTGGGCACATTTACCGCCAGCGTCGCGGCCTGGGGCGCTAACTGGCAATACGTCACATTATGGTTATACTGGTCGGCGCGCTACCGTCACCAGCCTACG